GTTATAGAGCAACAGGAGGAGGACGAGGATGAGCAAAGAGAGGACAATTTGTTGTTTTTATAAAAACGACAGCAGCAACAGTCGTCGCCGTTCTCGAAGTTAAGTCGTTTCAATGAAACGTGTCGTGTTTGTCTTCTATGAGATTTAAAAATTAAATGAGTGTACATACGTGAGTGAATATGTGTGTGTGTTTGAGAGTGTTTGTTTGAAAATTAACATTGAAAAGATGTAAGGTGTAATTGTCATTGCATATGTCAAAGGATGCTAATACCTACACCTACATAAACACACACACCAAACAGAAACCTAGCTAAATAATGTTGAATTAAAGAAGTCTTTCGGTAACTTTGCATGATTTCTTGTTTTTTGTATTTTTAACAGCATCAACGTGACAAGTCCTTTGTGTTTTTTTTCTTCTTCGTTTGTTTGTGGTATAATGGCGGTAAATGCTATGTGCCAACAAAGCTATTTGAGTGAGTGTTCTTGTGTGTGTGTGTGTGTGCTGTTGTTGTTGTCTTTCCTATGAACCAACAACTTGCCTTGAGTAGGTGGCTGTTTGGTTATTCCTCAAAGGTATTTTTTGTATTTGTAGACTCTTTGTTTTGCTTGTGGTCTTCTGATGTCACAAACAGTAGACTTTGTTTTAATATTAGCTACCACTAAGCTACGGAAACGAACTTTAAGTCAAACATTCTTTTTCAGCACAGATAAAGTGTACACCCACACTGAGACTGTAACATTTGCCTTTGGCCACACACAAAAAGAAGTGTTTCTTTACCGAGACTTGTGTGTTATTAATTATGGAAAACAAGTGCACTGCAACAGAAAAAACAAATTGGTGGTAGGCTCGAAAAGAAAAAGATTTAAATATTTCAAGAATTTTTAATTATTTGGAGAAAAAAATTGTGGATTTTTTAGATTAGATAAAAAAGAAAAAAATACTAAAAAAAATAAGAAAATGGTTAAAGCTGGCATTAAATTTTTTTTTTTTTACTACGAGATGTCACCATCCAGCGAGCATAAATATGAATTTGTTTGAAATGAAATCTATGAGTACAGGCAGCTGCCGAAAAACTAATGGATTTCTTGTTCCCCAACCTAATATATCGGAAATCTTATAGGTTAAAATCCGGAATTTCCGCAATTATAGGTTGAGAGTGGGGAAAGAACATGATTATATAAATAAAATGTCTTTTTCGGATATAAATATATTATCAATGTGTAGTTCCGTATAGGCCCACATAAATTTATGTATATATTTTTAAACCTCATTAATTTAACCATTTACATTATGGCTTCCATAGTCCATCCATTCTAAAACACAATCATTATGGGCCTCTAATTTTGTTATTTAACACCCTCGCAATGGCATAGCATAGAAAACTCCTACTTATTAGTATGTAATACAAAAAAAAAATCCAACAACAACAACAGCAAACCCAAAGCCTATACCACATCAAGCCATTCATCTTTGCTCGTTTTTTCTTCTTGAACTCTACTCTGTACCATGTTAATGCTGAAGGACCACTTCTTGGCAAATGTTGCAATTTCAAGTGCTAAAAAAAAGATGCAAAAAGCAACAACAACATCAAACTGGAAAATTAAAAGTATGGCTGAGTATGAAGATTTACCTGCCCCTTCATTCGTTCATGTTCAATTCCAAAAAACAACAAACTAAGCGTTTATTACAATTCTACTTAAAATAAATAAAAAGAGGAAAGGAAAACGAACGAATAAAAACTTTCATCGAAAAAATACATTTTCAAGTGTTTTAGTTTGTTTCAAGGGGAATTTTCAGTTTTTTAATAACTTAAAAGAAAACCAACAACAATTTGCCTCATTTGTTAAGAAGAATGGAAATTATTTTCCCCCAACCCCCCCAAAAAATACAATACAATAGTTGTTTCTTGCATTATTTATCTTATTTAAGACATTACAAAAGAACAAAATATAAAATATAATGGTAAAAATTGTTGTTGCAATCCATTTTTCGGATACATTTTTTCCTAAGGGGTGAAAGTACTTTTGCCGAGTATTTGACCTTAACCCAAAGCCTTAACCATTTTTCTTTTCTTTAGTGGTTTTTTGCTGTGGATGCTGTGTCGTATGACGAATATAAATTGTAAAAACATGGGGCCGTATGATTTACGAAGATGTGGATGAGGATAGTTCTGGGCGCCGTATGATTTACAGAAAATAATTTAAAAATCAACTATTTAATATATTTTAAAAAAATTTTAAGTTGTGATTCCCTTTGCATGGTCTTGAAATACTCAGCGTATCCTTCATAAAATATAGATGAATCTTAAATTCCGGATTTTAAACTAGGTTTTTGAAATTTTGTACATACATAATATATGGCCCTCATATAACGGCACCTCCCCATTTTCCACATGTTAAAGGAAATCTAATAACTAATGATAAACAACAAAAATTTGCCTCATTTGTCAAGAAGAATAAATACAAATATATACATATATATTTTCTCAAACCCCCCAAAAAATACAATAGTTGGTTCTTGCATTATTTATATTTATTAAGATATAAAACGAAAATAATTGAAAAAAAATGTTTGTAATTGTAAAAATTGTTGTTTTTGCATTTCACTCCATTCTTCGGGTACATTTTTTACTTAAGGGGGAAAGTACTTTTGCTGTGTATTTAACTTAATTTTTTTTCTATTTACGGGATGCTGTGTCGTATGACGAATATAAATTGTAAAAATCTTGGGGCGATATGATTTACAGAGATATGAATGCAGGTAGTTCTGGATGACGTATGATTTACAGGAAATTATTTAAAAATCAAATATTCTATTATATTCTAAACCATCAGGTGGGGTCTTTTTTAAATTTGGCCTCTCTCATAGAGGTCCTGCTCTGTATTTGCAAAAAAACTCTAATAGTCGATTTTCACAATCCTCCCTAGATACATATTTTTTATTATTAAAAACATTTCGCAATGCAAGTAAAATATGATAAACGCTTGGTGCTTGGTCCAGACTGTATGGCGGATGCATTAAATCTTCCCAACCAAGCTCCCGAGTCTCTGGCGAGTCACAGCAGATGTGTGTGGCCTATCGTTGTCCTGGTGGAAAACGACACCTCTTCTGTTGACCAATTCTGACCTTTTCTGGTCAATTGTAAATGATTTAAAACAGTTGTATGGTCGATTTTTAGCTCCTGGGCGATGTTACAACAACTTCGATCATTTCTCCGATTTTATCGACATTTTCGACAACTGGGCTACCTGTGCGAGGTGCATATTTAACATTAAACATTCCTGAACGGAATCTACGAAACCAAATTAACATAATTGGCTGTTATAGTATCGGAACCATAAACGCCATTCACAATTTTAGCCGCTTGGCTTGCATTTTTGCCTTTGTCCAAGAAAAACTGTAAAATGTACCGAATTTTCTATTTGTTCACTTCCATTTTTAACACCCTGTAACTCAAAACTGAATGCACCGAACAAAAAACAGCAAAATATGTTTTTACTGCGAAATTTCACCCTTCCATCGAGAATAAATCTGAAATTATTTGATCGATACTTTACGAGAAATCTATCAGTACAGCCATCTGCCGAAAAAAAGTATGGATTTCTTTTCCCCCAACCTAATATAAACTCTATAAACCCAACCCTCAAGGATCAAGTCGAACTTTCATAGATACATTTTTTTTTTGTTTGTCATTGAAGACCTTTTCCCCAGAATACAGTTTGATTTATCCTTGACTCAGCTGATTCCCTCGATTCTCGCCTTGTCGATTAAATGAAAATGTATAGTCCCAATAAGAGACATATTTCAAAACCTATTTGAAAATTGTCCCAATACTAGATATCTGTCTCCCAATAATAACCATAATTACTTTCATATGTTTGTGTCTATCTCCCCCCACCTCCCAAAATTACCTTCAGTTTCCTTGTACATTAATAATATTGAGAAAAAAACTTTTTCCTTCTTTTTCAAAACAACAAAAAATTTCCTCTTTTGAATCAACATCTCATTCGTCATTGTTAAGCATCTGTCGTCAATGCTATGGTAATTGGAAGATATTCAAAAAAACCATTGTCTGTCGCCTGGATTGCTAGCCAATGTGTGTGTATATGTATGTGTTCTTCTCGAGGTTGGGTAAGGTTGGTTTTTGCATGATTTTGGCTTATTTAAGTGGGCTGCTGTGGTGCTTCTTCTGTTACGACAGCAAATAATAGTATGTGAGTGTGCTTGTGTGTGTGTTGGTTCGCGTCAAGAGAACAACATTGACCCAGAAAAAGGAAAGCGAGACAAATAAATAAACACACAGAGGAAAAAGCCCTCAACTAGCGAATATTAAGTTGAAAATTTGTTTTTAAATGTCACCACCATCCATCCAAAATTATGCCAAAGACAAAAAAAACCAGCAACAACAAGAACAGCTTATGTATGAAATTATACACAAAGTAGTCTCGATATCCTTTATAAACAAAGGGAAATTTAATGAATTTTTGATTAACTGTTCCAAAAAATAAAATTGAATAATTAGGGGCGGGAGGAAGTTTTTTCTTGGTAAATGGCGTGGAAAATTTATGTGTTTTTTTTAATTTGATTTGAATTGGAATATTCACTTGTAATGCTCCAGGACCAACTTTCCATATATTCTTCTATATATTACAACTTACAATTTTTCTAATGTGTAAAATTATGTTCCTCAAAATCAGAACTTCCATTTCATTAACTTATCGAAGTTCACTTTGGTAAAACCAATCCAAGAAATTTTTAAAAGAAAGTGAAAGACAACTTTGGAAAATTTATTATCATTTCTTTTACTTTCAAATTAAAAACAAAAAACTATTCTGAAAACTAAGCACAATCCTCAACTACCTCTTATATCATTGCAGATAATTTTTCTATACATCCCCAAGTAAGCGGATCAAAAAAAAAAAAAAAAAACAACGGCTCCAATATAACCGCACAAAACGAATAAAAATCGTTTTTGATTTTTCTTCATCCATTCTTTCCCCTATGTTTTGACACGCAATGGAATTGCCTTCCATGGTTCAAAGATCTGGCGACACCCTAATCGTACGCAGTGTAGTCAGTGGCAATCAATTATATGCGGACCAACAACACAACTCAACTGGACCAGAAATTCTAAACAATATGAATACCTCAACAACAACATCAGCAAACAATAACAATGGAAGTTCCGCTGCCAATGGTGTTGGTGGCCTACAAGTAAATCCCTCCATATCCAACAGCCTGATAATGGAACAAATTGAATGTCTGAAACGTTCCCAAGAAGCGGCCCAACAATTAATGCAACAACATCACCAACAACTGCAGCAGGCACAACAACAACAACAGCAACAGGCCCAACAAAATGCCGCCATGGAACTAAAAGAAGAAGGCCTGCCGCAGTGCAAAATCAAGCGTAACTATAGCTGCAGCTACTGCACCTATTTCACACAAAATCCTCGCTATCACCTGACCCACTTGCGTGATGTGCACGGTGAGAAAATAGTCATCAATAAATGTAAATTGTGCCTGTATGCCTCCCGGCACTATCAGAAGTTGGTGCGGCACATGAAAATGGTGCATGGCTGCACGGAGGGAGTGACAAGTGGTCATGGCCAGGCACGTGGTAAGCGTGGCATGAATCGTGAGCGAAAGCGTAAACTGGAGGAAAATATGCCACAAACGGGCGCTATGAAGCTAATGAATCTCGAGGCATTCAATGCGGAACAGGTAAGAGATCTCGACGAAAAAAACTTCATTTATCAAAAACTTGACTCCAATTTCTCTCTTCTTTCAGCTCCAAGTCGACATGGAACATAAACTTAATCGCGATTTGGATCTATTCAAACAACAACAGGAAGAACAACAAAAATCACAACAGCTAAGCATATCGGCAGCCAATGCCTTTATTGCTGCCTATGAACAACAGCTACGGGCCCAACGTGATTTGGCCGAAAAAGATGCCCTCCGCAAAACCGAGCATTCCACTTATGAAAGACGAGAATCCACATCACCGCCACCAGCACCACAAGCACCCATCAAAGAGGCATCTGATGATGCAAATTATACAAATTCACACGCACAACAAAAATGCTATGATTACAACCCCTCCTCGTCGACCACCTCCACCAGCAACAACAACAACAACGCCCAACAAGAAGCGAAAATTCAAATTCCCCCACAAAGGCTCAGTTATGAGTTGACACCATCTCCGTCGGGCAGTAACTCGTCTCCGCCACCAGCCGGACAAAGCACCAGTGGCAGTACCACACCCCTCAGTGTTATGTTACCCTCCGATGAACCCTCCAACAACCGGCTCCTGAAATGTAGTCTTTGTGACTTCACCACCCTGTATCGCAACAATCTGCTCGAACATGAAATCGAAGATCACTGTGATGCCAAATTCTATCGCTGCGAGAAGTGCTCCTATGTGACCCACATTAAGGCCCGCTTTAGCAAGCATGTCAAATACCACTCCATGCCCATGATCAAGTGCGTGACGTGCGATTTTCGCACACCCTACAAATGGAATTTGGATCGCCATATGAAAAATCATGGTGGTGCGGGACCATTCCGCTGTGCTGCCTGTGACTTCACAGCCGACATCAAACAATCGCTGACGGTACATGAAATGAATCATCACGTGCCGCCGGTGGGTCACGCAGCCGGCATGACTTTGGCCCGTAGACGCAACAAGGTAGGTGGTACCGACCTGAGTGAAGATTTCTTCAGTGACTCCGCTGAAATGATGGAAGACCATTTCAATAACAACAACATGGATGAGTATGATGAAATGCTGATGACAGCCGGCCCCGCCGAAGGAATGTATGAATCGAAACGTTTCCGTTATGAAGAAGATGAACCCACAGATTTATCACAAAAGGGTGGTTCTTCCGATACATCATCGGTGCACAATCAATCTTTACCCGGCACAAAAGCCAAAAAACCTTTACCCAATCTCATACCCATTTCAAAGGAAGGAGAGAATATTTTGAATCTCAGTTCGGATATGGCAACCGGTGGTAATGGTCGATATTTTAATGAAAAACAAATTTCCGAAATGTTGCAACCCTTGGAAAAGCCGGATTCTGCTGTGGGAGCTGCACCTGCTTCACAATTGTCACCAACCACCACCATAGCCTCTTCCTCGGCTGCCAGCGGTAAAAGCCTATTGGCCCGTAAATCCGGTGGCTCATTTTTCGATAAAATCAAATTTTCCAATACCACAAATGAAAACCTCATTTGTCCATGTGGTCACATGGCCAAATGCTTGTCCGAGTCGATTATACATCGCAAATCCTGTACCTATGGTCATGATGATATCGATTTGGATGACGAAGATCACGATGAGGATGGTGAAGAGGGTCGTTTAGAAATCGATTTCAATGAAGATGATGAGTGTGACAAACAGTCACAGTCCGCCCTTAATTTAAGTGTCACGGGTTCAACACGCTGTCAACATTGTCGCCATCGTTGTAAATCTTCAGCGGATCTGTTGAATCATTTGAAAATCTGTTCAGAGGCCAATAGTCGTTGTGGTGATTCATTGTCGGGTGAGAGTAGTGTTGGTAGTCGGCTAATGATGGGCGATGGCAGTGGACAGCAACACCATCCGATGGAAAATCGGGTATTTGTTTGGAATAAATTACCTCGCAATCAAGGTTCGGAGGGTTCGCAAAGTTTCGATGGAGCGCGTGGAATGCATCAAAATGCCAATATAAATAATGGTGGGCATGGGGGTTCTGGAATTGGAGCGGGTATACTAAGTGCCAATAATGATGAGAATAGTTATTATGGTGTTGAGACAGCACCAGGATATGGGGAGGTAAGTTGTAGTTTTTTTTTCGATTATTTTTTTTTAATTTCCATAATAAAAAAATTAATTAAATTCAAAACTTAAATCAGTTTTTTTAAATCATGAAGTATTGCTATATATCCCCAAATCCTAAATATTTCCCACTGTGCCAAATGAAATTTGAAACTTTCACTGTTTCCAGGTAACCAAAAAGATGACACCCGAAGAAGAGGCAGCCAACTCGTCGTTGAAAAAGGTCTACAAATGTCCGCATTGTTCTTTTTGGGCATCGACGGCATCCCGCTTCCATGTTCACATTGTCGGTCATCTGAATAAGAAACCGTTCGAATGTTCTCTCTGTTCGTATCGTTCGAATTGGCGTTGGGACATTACCAAGCATATACGCCTAAAGACCATTCGTGATCCTAGCCATAAAAATGCCCGTGTCCTGATGAATGATGAGACGGGAAGGCGCAATTACACCAAATACAACAAATACATCACATTGATGAAGGTGACCGAGGAGGATGGTGATCCCAAGCTAATGAAATCTGGCGAAATGACACCGAATCAGGTGGCCTCATTGGCTTTCATTAATGATTACAATCAAAAGCAGCAACAGCATCAGGGATCTGTTGCCTCTTCCGGTTCGACGTCTTTGAATAATATTTTGAATGGTGTCAGGGAGGATATTACATTGGAACCAATACCATCGAAGAACTCGATGGGTGGTGTTAATGAAGATAACATGGCCGATAACTTTATTCGTTTGCCACTCCTGGCCTCAATGATGAATGCTGCCATGGCCCAACAACAGCACCAGAAGGGACAACAGGCTAGCAGTGGAGATCATGAAAATGCCACATTGATTACACCCTCGGTTACCATATCGGCTGTCAAGAAGAGTCAACAAACATCAGCGGCTCCCTTCAAGCCAAGTGATGAAATCATTTTGGAAGTGAGACCGGATAGCAATGAGAAGAATTATAAATGTCGTAAATGTAATTTTAGGTGGGTATTTTTAGTTTCCATTGGTAATCTGCAGTATCCAACGTAATATCTTCTCTCTCGCTCTCTCTTCGCAGACACATGAATCGTGATGCTGTTTTGGCTCATGTCAAAGTTCACTTCCCCGATCCAAACGCGCCAATTGTCACAGCCACTGCTACAACATCACCCAACAAATCCGGCCAATTACAGGCCACGGGACCCCTACAAGTATCGGTAAATTCCAATTTGTATATGAACAAAGTATTGGCTGCCATGTGCCTGACACAACAGCCCAACAACTCGTCGGCTAGTGCCCAGGCCCAATTAACGAATCTGGTTGCAGCCGGTCTACTGGATCAATCGACCAATTCACCGCTAAGCGGCCTGGCATTGGCTCTAGCTGGCAAGAGCCCCCTTAAGGCATCACAATTAAATGCTGCTGCCGCTAATATCATTGAGCACGGTGAGCAGAAAGCGATTCTAAATGACCAGGCAAGTGCCGAAAACACTATGACGTCGCCAAATCAATTAACACTAGTTAAGGCGCTTCAACACAATTCACAACAGCAACAACAAGAACATGTACAAGCGACGTCGTCAAATTGTGGTTATGGGTCGGCGACGGCAACAACAAGTCCCTCATCGTCATCTTCATTGCAAAATCTATTAACATCGCCTAGAGGTGTCAGGCAGACCAATAACACCACCGTCAATATCGATGGTGGTCTAAATGACAATACAATGGTTATGGGTTCACCTAAAACAACAACTACAACACCGGCAACAACTCACACAAACAAGTCTGGCATAATGGCAACATCTGCGACAGCAATTCCACCTCCTCCTTCACCACAAGCAATTGTAACTACTACTACTAGTACTCCTATATCTTCTCCATGTACTTTCAATCTAACACAAACGGCGGCAAGGCCATTGTCTCCAATCCAACCACCGGCATTACTCGCAGCCTCATTTTCTTCCTCATTGGGAAATAATAAACATTTTGGTGATGGTCACGTCGGGGAAAATGACTCGAGTGTCATGTCGTCGTCGGGTGGTGGTTGCGATCTTGGCGATGGTCTACAAGATCTAATGATGAAGGTTATGGGTTATGCTTCATATTCTTCTGATCATCATGTTGGAATAAAATCATCATTATCATTCAAGTCGTCCAATCCGAATCAAACAATAAAACAAAATCAAAATTCTTCCTCCACCTCCTCAGCTACTTCTATACAAAATCATACCTCCTCATCCTCTTCCCAATGTAACAGTAATAATAATAATAACAACAATAATAGTAATAATGCTAGTAATAATAATTTGGGTCATATGTCCTCTGGTAATGGTTCAAACAACAACAATAATAATTCTCATCATAACAACAACAACAATAATAATGGTAATGGTGGTAACGGTAACAACAACAACAATAATAATCTATTAACGCACGAAACAACATCAGGCGATAGGCGTGATCCATCGCCATATCGTTGTGGTCATTGTCATCAAGTATCGAATTGGAAGCATGTCATACAGGTATATTTCTAAAACCCAAAAAATCCCCATCCCGATTTATTTTAAATTGTGAGTGTATGTGCGTGTGTGTGATGAATGATTTTTAAAGTAATTGTGTGAATGGTTGTTGTGGGAGATTGAAGATATTTTAAAATGGGACTCCACTTAAAATCATTTATGGGGAACCAAATAGCAATTTTAAATTGAGCTGGAAGTTAAAGGTCCGTGAAATATGAACATGATCTGGACATGGACATATATCCCTAATATGTTGCAGATCATGTCCAAAGCGTTTTTGTGTGGACATGATATAACCCATTTTCATATTTTAGAGGACCTCGTATATCTATTTTAATATTAGTACCAGTTTATCTTTGGGAAAATAATTAAATGCATAGGGATAATATGATAATTCTCTAAAATTCAATACAGACGAAAACTTTATTAATACATATTGAAAAAAATGTCCCGAAAATGGTTAAATTTTATTTTCTAGTTTTAGACATTTTTTAATTTAAAATGTTTATATGTATCATTCTCTATTTTGGGAATATTTATTAGGATGTTGTTGACCATCAAATCGTAAGTTTTTTCTTTTTTTTCTAATGAATTCGGTAATGTGTAAAAAAGCTTTATTTGAAATTCATTATAAATTTTAAATATTGAAGAATTTAATTGTTCATCAAATTTTTAATATTGTAAGTTTTAATAGCCTCTTCTAAAACCTTAGAAACAAGAAAATAATTTATAGTTTTTAAAATTTAATTCTAAAAATGTTTCATACAAAACTTGGAACAACTTGAATTACATATTTTCTAAATACAAATATAGTTTCGCATAATTTAATATCATACAAATAATTGTGGTGTTTGGTATCATGTTATTTATCTTTGGTATTAATTTACTTATTTTCATTTGTTTATACTGGTATGTGTGTTTCATAATGGTGTTGGTGTGGTGTTTGTGTTTATTAAATATGTATTTATTTATAATATAATTTATTCATAACATTTAACAACTTCCATTTTTCCAATTACAGCGACATTGTCGATTGAAACACGCTGGCGTCATCAACATCGAAACCCTTGATCGTGCAGCAACCGGTGAACGTCACATGGCTCCCGTGTATAAACCCTTGGTCAATGGAGCCACCATCAATGATCCGCAACAACAACAACAGCCAAGCAATAACAACAATCTTAACAATGGCCAATACAGTTTAACCTTAAAGGCCTTACAACAACAAAACAATAATAACAATAACAACAACTCGAACAGCACCAACAACAACAATGTACTTATGGACAACACTAGCAAAATGCTTGTGCCAAAATCTGAAACTCCACAATCGTTATTGAATTTCCCACTACCCCTGATATCCGGTGCTGGGGCCTCACAAGATTTACATGCGGCTGCTGCAGCCTATTTGGCCGAAATATATAAAGCAGCTGCTGCCCAAAATGGTAATCATAATGCCACCCTGGCCAACATTACCAACATGGCTGAGGAGTTATTGCTACAACAACAATTACAAAAGAATGATCAAATTGAAATAACACGAGTTTCATCCTCGTCGTCCGCCTCCAACGCCAATAAACAACAACAACAACAGAATTTCGGGCTATTGAACGGTCAAAATTCCAATTTGGCTCAACTCTTGGAAGCCAATAACAACAACAATAATAATGGCAATATTAATATCCCATTGAGTGTTCCAACAACACCCAGTGGCAACAACAACAAATCAAAACAACAAAAATGCCCCCTCTGCACATACATTTGTGATAGCAAGTCCCAGATGAATTATCACATCTCGCTGCATAAGCCCACCCAATACGAGTGTCATTTGTGTACCTTTGTCTGTGCCAAGAAACAACATTTGAGTTCACATATGCGCAGTGTCCATCAAATGTTGCCCCAACAACAACAACAGCATCATCAGCAGCAACAACAGGCATTTGCTGCTGCATCATCAGCAGCTTTAAATATGGATTTCAGTTTGGCCCTTAAAATGGCAGCAGCTGCTAAAAATCAACAGGTAAGCGAAAGGGGGTTCAAATAAATTTAGAAGCCTGGGTTCTTAGAGGGTAAACATTACGCAGAAAATTGTCAATATATGTCCATGTTCTCATATAAAGGTCCTGCCCAATAATCAGGTCTTTCCCGACATTATTGTTAATATAGAATAGGGATAAGGAAATCGACTTTCGACTTTTTTTAATGAAATATCTAAAAGTCTAAATCGACTTTTGAGTCACAAAGTTTTTCATCATAATTACTTGGTTTATTACCACAAAGCCCAGATGGCCCTAAAAATAAGCATTCCAAAACTTTATTTTATCTGTTGACAACAATTCATATTCAGCCAATTCAGACAAATGGTCTGTTCCAGAATCTTCTAGAATGAAGAAATTAGTAAGAATTAGTAGATTCTTGCAGTACGGGGTTTGACGAAATCGAAAGATCGAAAAGTAGACTTTTAGACAAAGGCGAAAGTCGAAAATGTAAAAATTTAATTTTTGGTCTGAGACAAAAAGCGAATTTTCTAAAACTCGTCTTTCACCCTCGACTATGTTTTCCTAATATAGAACACTCTCGTTTTACGTTGCGAATTTTTAATTTCCTTTTTCTGAAATTTAATATTTTTATCTTAAATTCATTTTCATGTTTTCCTCTCCTTCTTCCAGGATTCTCCCTTGGCCATTGATTTGTCGGGTATTAAACACAACATAGCCAGTCTAAATTCTCCAGCTCAACGTTCAACAACAGCCGGAACAAATTCCGTAGCCAATGCCAATTCCGCATCTAATCAACATTTACCACCCGAATATCAATATCGTTTAATTTATTATTGCAATAAATGTCCCGCCCGTTATGCCCAGAAACACAATGATCCGCAAACAGCAAAAACTGATCTTGATGACCACTTGAGGCAACATGAACCCTATCACGGCAGTTCAGATGATTCACGTAAATATCAATGTGAATATTGTGATTATAGGGCGGCCCACGAGACCTTGGTTCAGGCTCATCGTTATGTCCACACCAGTCAGTATCAAGAGAAATGCAATGAGCTGTATAAAAATTGTAAAGATGATACCGTGTATCGGGCACCGAAATTAATGCACATCACAGCAACGCGCAATAATATGAAACATGAAACCATATGGGTGGTGGATCAGGATCTGAATGAGGGTCACATCATGAAAATGGGTGGTCAAAATTCCAGCATTACATCAAGTTCGCCGAATGGCGGTTTTGAAGTCGGCAATTCCTTGCTTAAGAAACAATTGGAATCGAAACAAAATTCCACGACAAATGTCCAAGAAGTGGCCACAAAAGATGTGGAGGATTTGGCCTCTGTTTCACCGGCTAACAGTGACATGATGGAACATGTGTCGGAGAAAACCAACCGACAGGAAAATCATTCCCCCTCACCAGCACCTGAAAATGTGGAAAAATGTCAACATTGTCCATTTGAGAGCACGTTGAGTTCGGAGTTTAAAACCCATATCCAACAGCATATTTCGGTTTCACAGCAGCATTTGGCCTACACCTGTGAACACTGCGATTACACCGCTGATGAACAGGATCACATTGATGAACATACACGCATACATTTCAATAGCATGGAGAAACTGAAAGATGTTGCATTCTTTACCAGCTATGATAAATTGGAATTGAGTATGGAACAGCCATTGACGGCAGAGGAGAACGAAGGCGCGGATGAGGCAGCCGGGGAAGAAAATCATTTGGAAATGAATATCAAAAAGGAGGTGGTGCAATCGAATAACAACAATGATGAAGATCGTATTAATGAAAATTTGAAACAATCTGCCACCACCACCGCTAATAACAACAGCGGTAATAACAATAATGAGGCAAATACATCAACGAAACCGGAGGAGAATAAATCCCAAAAATGTGCTAAAATTATTTTATATAAAAATGATGGCTGTTTGAGTATTAAAAAGGAAAATAATAACAACAACAACGAAACAGAACAACAATCACAGCAGCAGCAGAATAATAGCTCTTCCAATAACCAAAATATTAGTGATCGTCTAAGAAGACGCATTAGTCGCCAAAGTGGAAATGTAATGCCAACCAACACCACCAGCAACAACAATAACAACAACTCAACATCTGATGACCAACAACAACAACAGTCGACAACTACAAGCCATAAAACTATATTAGTTAATGCCAAAACTGGTCAAGTTATCAGCAGGAATTAAATTCTTATATATAAAAAATATACATATATAAGAGTATATATACATATTTATGTATAACAATATATATACAGTACAAACACACGTTCTATTCAAAAAGAAAAAATATTTTTTTAATTTTTCCAAAATTGAAATATGAAACGTTTTTGTTTAATGTTTTTGATTTTTTTTACTGAAAAGTACCCCTTTAATTTCAAGAAAAACTAATTTTAATTTTCAAAAACACAAATTTAAAACACAAAAATTGTTTTCTTACAATCTTCTTGAAAAAATTATATCCGAAAAGAATAAATTACATTTTATGTATAACTGCATTTATCATACATTTTTGAGAATTAGAGAAATTTCATTTTTTTTTAATAAAATTAATTAACTGAAATAAAAATGTTCCGTTTGGAAAATTGTTATTTTCCACTTCAAATTAATTGTTCTCATCGATATTAAATAATTTGTTGGTTTCAAGCCCTTTATATAAAATTTATTAAAACAAAAATTTGACATTTTTTTATTGTAAAAATTTGTCTAATAAATTAGGTACGTGCTGTATATATATATACAAAAAAAAACTTTTTTTATATTAAATGCTAATAATTATTAATTAATTTTAATATTAGATTATAATTTTAAAATTAATTTTATAATCTTTGTTGTTTATTTTTCTTTCCTAAATGAACACCATTTTAAATATATAGTTTATTTTGTTTTAATTGTTATAATAAATTGTTTGTTACTAACTTTTAAATACTATTATTTTAATAATTTACATACATAAAATTAAGTTCTGTTTTAAATTAAATTTTTTTAAAGTAAAACAATTCCATAATATAAATACAAAAAATTAGCAAGGGGCAGCAAAATCATAAAAACAAATTAATTTTAATTTAAATAAAAAACTAAATTAATAAAAACTAATTGAATAAATAAAAAATACTGTGATGTTCAACTATAACAAAAATATATATACAAAATTTAAAAAACAAATTGTTGGCAAATTTATGAATTAAAAAACAAAAATTATATGGAAAACTAAATTTGCTGGAAACCCCTAAAAATTATTTTTACAAAACAACAAAATAAGGAAAACAAATCAGGATTATGAAACCATATATACATACATATATAATATTTTATTTGCAACATATTTTTTATTATTATTGTTATGTTCCACACTGGGTTTATATTATTTTTTATGTTGTTAAGTTTATGGTTATAATCCCCCACACCTCTCCTTCCCCCCAAATTATTATAGTTTTAACATTTAAAATTATTTTGTTTTCTTTTGTCCTTAAATAATTAGTTGTTAAGACATTTTGTTTCTATTATTTATAGTTTTCTTTTTCTTAATTTTATTTTTTATTTTTGGCAAACACATATATAAACACACACAGAAAAAATGAGTAGCATTATAGTCATTTATCTTATATAAAATACAAAAAACAAGTAATTAATTATAAAAATGTGTATTTACATATTAAATAAAAAAAAAAAACAAATTTAGTGTTTAGTTTATATATCTAAATCAAAAACAAATACCTAACTATATATACAAACAATTGAAACAAACACACACATGCATACCTTTATTATCTAATCTTATTTTTTAGTGTATAGTTTAATTTAAAAACAAAACATAAAAACAATGAAACAAACAAAAAAAGAATACAAAAATAAGCATATTTTTACACAATTGCACACAACTTACAAGTTAAAGTTTTTTGGTTCTATATTAAAATTTTTTGGATTTTTTAAGAATATTTAATTTTGTCTTTATTTTATTTAGTTTATTTTGCTTAATGTTTTTGGTGGGGTTTGGAAAATTGAATGCTTTTAAATCTTAAATTTCAGTAAATTTATGTACCTCGCATGGGATTAAATCCAAAGGGGCCATATATAAATCTGTAGGCTTGTAAACATAATATACTCGAAGGCTACTATATACATGCCTAAAATTTAATCGGTTGATTTAAACCGGTATAAAAAATCGGATTTTGGTGCTGAAAATCAGGGAGTTCTCTGTATTGCGTTGCGAAAGCAAGTGCGATGTAAAAGCTAAATGCGTTAAGAGTACAATTTAGTACTCTGAATCACAAACGCATCCCTAAATTAAATCGAAAATAAGGCAACACTTGGCACCACTGGTAAACAATAACGAAGAATGACAAAAGGAAACGTCAACAAATTGTAAATTAAAACATATTTTTGTGCGGCACGAGTATTTTTTGTTTTTTAATTAATAATTATGGATTCGGTGGGTATAAAAATAGAAGTACGAATTATGTGACAAATGTTTTCCAATATTTAATTTTTAAAGATTTATACAAAACTTTCGTCTCAAAAAAGATAAAGATATACAAATATATATTAAACGCAATTAAAAACGACCTCGTCGTTCCAAATGGATCCACAACTCCAACTCCAATAAAAGTGGCCATTGCTTTGGCCATTCTTTGGACAAGGTGGTTATCCACACCAAATCGGCCAAGACCATCTTAGGATTATCATAGCAATCTATGTCGTTTTGCTTAAAATAGGTTTGCGAGGTGATTGAGCGGATACTTTGTTCCAAGCACATACAATTTGAGGTAACTTCGGAAAATGAAATTGAAATAAAAAGGGGCTTTTTCCATACGTTTGTAATTCGTGAGTGATTGGGGCAGGCCAAACCTGTAAATATTGTAAATATGTAAATGTCAGTAAATAGAACTGACATTGTTTAATCTGTAACTTTTTTGGTGTTTCCATAAAATAATTAACCATTTAGATATAAATGAAACCTTTAATTGAGCTTACTTTCATATTTCGCTTCCTTTGCGTTTGCTATATGTTATTATAGATATTTGCGTTTAACGAACGAGTTTGACATACATACAGATTAACCCCCCTGGGTTTGGTATCTTAAAATTAGGTTAAATTATTTACTTGATCCGGATCTGTTTATCGCGAATACATTTTATTATGTATTTGGCATAGGGAGATACACTAGAGCCCTGGGGGGTTACTGTGTATTGCGATGCGTGAGAAAAATTGTAACGCATCGCGTAATTGGTACTCTCTTATTCGTTTTCGTATCTCCTTTCGCATCTACTTTGCGCAAATGTGGCATCACCGCACTCTGTAATACGAAAACGCATGTCAAACTCGTTCGTTAAGCGCAAATATCTTGCGTTAACAAAATACCAAAGGCAAAGGAAGCGAAACATATAAGTAAGCTCAATTAAAGGTTTTATTTATATATAAATTGTAAATTATTGTAAGTAAAGGCAAAAAAGTCACAGTTGCAGACTCAGCAACGTCAGTTCCTAACTTCAGTAAATTTTATGGGGCAACACAGTGATTTGGCAAAGGGACAGTTGCAGAGTTCAAATGTTAAACAACGCGCTAACAATTTGTGGACAAAACTGTCTGATGACCTCAATTCAAATTGACCTCCTGTAAAAGATGTCGGTGGTTGGAAAAAGTAATGTATTATATTTTTTATATAAAATGTGAAACTATGTGTGCATATTTACTGATTTGTGTTGATAGCCACCTTGCAATTTCAAAGCAGCGGCCTCTTTTATTGGAGTTGGAATTGTTGTGGATCTATTTGGAACGACGAGCGTTTAATAAATACACAAACGAATCTTTATTGAGACGAACATTTTGTATAAATATATAAAAATTAAATATTTGAAAACAAATTAAATATTTAATTCGTACTTCTATTTTCATACCCGTGGTCACTTAGGGAGAGTATATTAGATCAATCTCATAATTTTTTTTTAATTCGTTCATCATTTTTGTTTAAAAAATACTCGTACCACACAAAAATATGTTTTCATTTACAATTTTTTGACGTTCCCTTTTGTCATTATTCGTTATTGTTTACATTGTGGCGACAGTGTTGCCCTATTTTCGATTTAGTTTGCGTGAGCGTTACAGAGTACCAAATTGTAATCTTAACGCATTTAACTTTCGCGTCGCACTTGCTTTCGCAACGCAATACAGAGTAACCCCCCTGACTTGCGTCGTTAATGGGGACCGGATAATTAATGGGGACTCAAAACGACGCAAATCGTATCACCTTTTTCTATACATATACAAAATGCACTGAAGTTGTAAAAATGCTAAACGACAAAAAAATGCTAAATCAGGCACTGCAAATGCAAAAAAAAAAAATAGTAATCCACAATGTAACTCGGACCGACACAACTTGAAATTGCAACGACGCAAATCGAATTTTCTGGTTTTTGAAAGCGACGCAACTTGAAATGATACAAATCGGGATGACGCAAGTCGGGGCTCTAGTGTATATTTATGGTAACCGAAAGTTCACCATAATCTGCAATTTATTCATATTTATTAAAAAAAGGGACCATATATAAATTGTTATGAACGAAATTTGTATCAAATATTTGGAGGTTTAAAATCTCGTTTTTCGGTATTTAGTTTACAACTCAAGAAAATATGGTTAACAAAACGCACAAGATCTCTAGAAGGAGGATATATTTTAAATAATATTCCTTATTCATCTCAAATTCAGAAAAATAACCTCCAATGGGCACAAAAAGATGAGCGTGAAAGTTCATCACGACATAGCTAAAACACTTGACCTATGATGAATTTATCTTTCTACGTTCTTCGTAATTCATTTTTCAACCAAGATCAAAAGCTCCATATTTTTGTAAGCACCACTATTAATTCAGCCATCAATTTGAGGTATTTGTCTTCAATTTCCCAATTTTTGGAACTACCATTCTTTACCTACGAGACATAGTCTACAACCATCGCCATATATCGGATGATATGTAACTGCCACTGAGAATAAAAGTCAAATAGTCCTTTAAAATGCACTCCTGCTGACAGTGGACCTTAATAGTAGCACCCATATATATACTCTCTACTAGGTCCATTTATGTACTGTCACATATTTAAGATACATACATCGATAGAATGTTTAGATATTGAAATGGAATTTGGTGAAAGGTTTTCCTACCAAATGTCGAAGTTTAAAAATCCAAAGTATTTATTTAACAGAACCTCCTTTAACTTGTAATGCAATTCAAAAAAGCAGCCAACAAAAAATATTTTATTAAAAAGTTCTAAACTTTTCAATAAAAGTAAAATAAATAAATAAATAACAACAACCAACAGCAACAATTTTGAAAATCAAAAAGATCCAAAATAAAACTTGTGGAATAGCGGGGCCATACTTATAAATGTATTAAAATATATTTAAAATAATAACGATAAATAAATGAAAAAAAAACTAAATATATATACATATGTATTACTAAGTAACACGCATAGTTTATATAATTTTAAGAATTCATATATATAATAAAAAATAGTGTGTATGTAATGTAATCTATTATTATATAAAATTCACGAACAAAAATTTGAATTGAAACACACAAAATTTTGTTCTATAGATATTATAAGTGACAAACAAAAATCATTGAATTGGTGTACAAAAAAATAAAATTCCATTTAGTAAGAATTTTAAGCATTTAAATAGACGGAACATAAAAACACATACACAAATATATATTGGTGCAAAATAAATTTAAATAAAACAAAATAATAATAAAATCACATCATTAGAAAACAAAAATGTGTCCTGTTGTCATTCATTATTATCAGGATCGATTTGTCAGTAATAGATTTAAAAGGGATCAGCTGTTTTTTCTCAAGTCTAATGTCAACGAATTTTCAGAAAAAAGGACAAGAAAAACGTTATCATGAGCAAATGGAGTTTTACAGGAGTCAGAATGAAATTTTATCAACGAGTAAAACATTAAACCGAAGGCTTTGGTGCAGCAACGTCTTCCTATAGAGATTAACACTAGATTGCCGAGAGCAGTCATTTTGACGGTTTTTAAATTTCAAGTACAAAAACAATTGTGTATATTATGACTCAGCTTTTTAAAATTTGGTGACTTTTTCTACCACATAGAACTACGTTTATTAATCATAGTAGCTGCTTCCTCCCCTCTTTCATTCCCCGTATTCACATGTGCTATACCTAAATAGCCTAAAAGCGGTCATTTTGACCTTTTTGAAATATTAAATAATCAAACTACTTTTATTACTGTATAAAGTAAATTTCTTATATGACCAGATCGGTACAACAACATCGAAACCCGTTTGCTACTCTAGAAACACATACGAACACACAAATCGGGAAAAATTAATTTTATATTTCCAGTCGATTTCACTCTTAGAGTAAAGTCTTTCTCTTTTTTCGAACGTTTTGTCCGCGCTCTTATTTTTCAAAAGGGGAAACCCGAGAGCCCTACCACCGAAAACAAATAATAACAACGTTTTGTATGATTGTAAATAATGTAACAAATATTAAAAAAATAGTTTAAAAAATTTTCTTTACACAATAAAAAATTTTTCAGAATGAAGTCATTTTGACCGATTTTAGACAATATAGGTATATACAAAATTCCCGTCTTTCTAGTGTTAAGAAGTAAACCTGGTGACAGATACACACATCATGTTGAGGATCTGGAAGGACCATTTTGAAAAGCTTGTGGTATGTTGAAGAAGATACCCCAGAACCAATACGATATGACTATATAATGTGTATACCACCTAGCCAAGATGAGGTCAGAATAGCCTTCAATCGACTGAAGAGTACTAAAGGAGCAGGAGCCGGTGGGTTACCAGCCGAACTACTCAAGACTGGTGATCAGATGCTGGTCAGGAGCATAAAATCGGAAAGGACCTCTCAGGGCCCTTTAAACGGCGAGAAGACCAAGCTGTTGGTATCAACGCCCAGTAGACTCGGACCAACTGTGGAACTTGAGAACTAAAGCTTCGAGGTAGTCAAAGATTTCATATACCTTTGTACATACCAGTAGACTCGGACCAACTGTGGAACTTGAGAACTAAAGCTTCGAGGTAGTCAAACATTTCATATACCTTTGTACATACCGCCATAAATCAAACTAATGGCATCAGTTTTGAAATTCAGAGAAGGATAGTGTTGGCCAATAAATGTTACTATAGTCTAAGTAGAAACAAGGCCACCTCCAGCCAGACCAAACTCACACACTACAAGACGCTATTTATATCTGAAGCATGGGTAATTACGCAAGCCGATGAGGCAGCTCTGGAGTGTTTGAGAGAAAAATTCTCCGAAAGATCTATGGGCTGATCTGCGTTGACGGTGAATATCGCCGTCGAATGAACGATGAGTTGTACCAGTTATTTTCGGACATCGGCATTGTTAGACTCAAAAGGCATATAAAAGCGAACTAGCAGAAGGGGAATGCCACGTATCTTATGGATTCGATCAAGTAGAAGACAAAATCTTGGATCGTGGTCTTTCAAACTTGCGGAGATGCGCCCAAGACCCACGCGCCTGGAAATCCTTATTAAGCTCGGATTACGGAACGAAAGTTCTGTCACAAGCCAGCTAAGTAAATCACTTATTTTTAATTACAGCCTCGCAGCGGTACGTATATAAGGTCTTTGCATCGCTGTTCTGGCATCTGTGGCCCATGTTGCATGAACTACATACCATATTTCGGCCTTTGTTGTTGCTTTGATATTGGCCACACATCTGCCAAAAATTTTTCTATCGGATTAAGATCCGGTGACTGCTCAGGCCATGGCACTACGTCAATCCTTTCCAATACAAATCAATCCTTTGCGAGTTTGTTGGTATGTTTAGGATCATTATCAATTATGGTATTTTTGGGTAGAATAGTTTACTAGCCAATTGATCTGAAGATCGTGTCATAAATATCGAAAATTGGGGGTATCGTTATATAAGGGCTATATTAAAACCAGGACTAGTAGAAATAAACATTCGAAACAAAATTATATATCCTTATTTATTTATTATTCATTTCTGTAATAAAAGGCCTTCAATACCATATAAACATATTACGTAGCTAACAAAACCTGAGTGCATAATCGTAATATTACAAAATTGAATGACCAAAATTTTCCATTCCTATTAAATTGTAGCACAACTGTACTTTTAAGAATCTCCGGATCTATAAGAAACTACTTTTGTATTTATTAAAACGGTACTTTAATGAGCATCGCAACTATTTCATAGTTTTACCTAATCTGAAGAAAAACAAACGCACAAATACTAATCCTCCTCCTTAACACATTTTTCTGATTTGGTCAAGTATTTCCAGTTACAAACAGCATGGGTTCTAAAGAGTTTTACATCCTTACATGCAACAACAACAACTACATGTTGCGGTAGGTAAAAAAACTCCAGTGTAATGTTAAATAATTATCTACATAATTGAGTGAATACTGTACAGAAATGGTTCTAAGGGGGTTCACAGTTGATGATAAATGGTAGTGGAGGAATATAATGGCAATGCTCTGAATATGTAAAGAATGCTTTACTTGTAATCGTAGCTCCCTAGTTTAAAATATGATCACTTTACTACTACACTTATCTACGTCTATTCATTTGAACATTCATGTCAAATAAATCCCGATAATATAAGTAATTATGACATACGTGAATTTAATATAGATTTTGATCTTTGAATTTCCTTCATATTGTACAAATTCCCATTCATAATTCAAACAACAAATGGCAGCGGAACGCTTTTAATTATGGTGTTTCTACCTGCTTTACAGCATTTTACATTTTTCCATGCTGGCAATACCCTGACTCCCAGATGTCAGCAGACACAACCCTGTGTGCAAAATAATATGGGCAATGTAGAATAAAAGTCAATACATTCGAAAATCAGTCACTGCACGCGTCGGTTTGTTAGCTACGGCGTCTCACAAATTCTCAAAGAACAAAAAAGCAGATTTAATAACGAATAATTTTATACTTTTAATACTAATAAAAAGTGAATTTAGTTAAAAGTAAGTGACTTGTGTTTAGAAAATAAACAATTCCGTGGCAGAAGAAACCCACTTTCCGAGTGTTTTTCTTGTTGCTTCCATAGAATTCTTTTTTTTTTTTGCATTCTCTTACCATCGTTTTTTTTCTCTCCCTCCCTCTCTCCGATAATAAAACAACGCTCATTTACCACAAACACCGGCTGCTGGCTTGTCATTTTGTTTGAACGTCGAAAAAACAGAATCAGCGAATAATTAACACAGCATATCCACAGATCTCGTCGCCTATTTTTTTCTCCCGTACGTGAATTTTTTAAAACTTCCTTTTCAAAATGAAATCAAAGAAAAATGAAACTGATGCTTCTGGCAGTGGCTCTTCTGATGAGGAGGCAGAGTATGTTGTGGAAAAGATTTGTGCACGTCGTGTACGCAAGGGAAAGGTAAATAGAACGCAACATGAAAATTTCCCTTCCGATTTATTACAACATTCTATGTTTCTTGCCAATTGCAGATTGAATATTTTCTCAAATGGAAAGGTTATCCGGAATCTGAAAATACTTGGGAACCAGAAGAAAACCTCGATTGTCAAGATTTAATTCAAGCCTTTGAAGAAGAAAGAACCAAGGAAGAGGTAAGCTATTTAAAAAATGCAAAATTATTTTCCATGTTTGGGATTTATGTCAAGAAAATATGTGTGAGTGTGTGTTTGGTTGTTTGTACAGGCTGTGTGTATGGGCATTTTGCTTATGAAAGAATTTACATTTATTTTTGCCCTACTGTTGCTATCGACTTGGTGTTGTTGTTTGTATGTTTTGGCGGGATATTAGTGTGAAGATTGGTTTTGTTATAACAGGGTGACGCCTAAACGGCTTGATTGGCTTTGGTATTGAACGGAGCTCAACTTCATTTCCATGACGCAGAAAGTGATAAAAGGCAAGCTGAGTTCGTATTTGTTATAATTGAAGATAAATTGGAAATGTAAATTTATTCTGATTCCTAGGAAAGTACAGTAATTAATGTACATTTCGTTAGTCTAATGATTCCACAGTTGTTTTTGTTGTAGCAGCCCTACTACGGTCTGAAATGACAGACGTTGTCCGAGTAAGACCGAGTATAGTACAATTTTGTCTCAAAAGTGGACAGTTCTATCGAATCAAAATGCATATTTTGATTATGTATTTTTTGGAATACAATATCAAATAAATTCAAATTAATTGAAAGGAAAATCATATATTACAGCATTCGTATGGAAGAAATGACTGTCATGGATGAAACAAATATTTCATGAAACTCCGTACTCAATTTTTTTTTCAGGAAATTAGGTACTAAATTTAAACATTTATTTACTGACGGAAAAGTCACCACTATGGCATATTTATACAAGATAGTCTCATGCAGTCATGTTTCCGATTTTTTCATAAATAAGCTTTTGAGAGCATCCAACTTTCAAATTTTAAATGAATTGAGAAATATTTTAGAGGGTAATAATCTTGGCATTTTTGGCGTGACAGAAACTTGGTTAAAGCCAAATACCAAGTTATTTTTGTTATAAGAGTGATCGCCTTGTAATAGAGGAGGTGGAGCAATTGTGTGTTTCTTGTTGGTGTGGTCTATTTGCCACATGGCGATATTGTGACTTTTGAAGATGAAATTGCTGATCTTGTTGTTAGGTACTTAAATGTTATTATAATGGGAGATTTCAATAATAATATGTTTGATCCGCAGCGAAGTTTAGTTGTAAGGGAAATTTGTAGCAGATTAAATTTATCTGTTGTCCACAACTCAATGCCCACACACGCCGATATTGCGCATACCTCTGGATATGATGGATTTCACCTAAAGTTTCTACAGCTTGTGTTTCCCCTTGTTGGTCAATTTTTGTTGCACGTTGTCAATTCTATGTTAACAATGTCTGTGTTTCCAGAGATGTGGGAAATTGCAAAAATTGTGCCTATTCAAAAAAAAAAAATAATGGTGATTCGGTGAATATAGACCTATATCTACAATGCCGATTCTTTCTAAATTGGTTGAGTATGTCATGAAAGATCAAATGCTAGTTTAAATTGGCAAAAATTCTCTATTACATGAGAGCCAGTATGGATTTAGGAGTAATCGCGGTACTACATCTCTTCTTGTTGAATTGACTGACACAATATAAGGAAGACTGTTGGTGCGGGAGGTTGTTGTTGTTGTAACAGCCCTATTGCTTTAACACAATGGGCTGAGGTGATCGTAGACCCCTCTGTCGTGGAAACGGGTGCGGGAGGTTGTTGTGTGTTGTTGTCAGTAGACTTAGAGAAAGCCTTTGACAAAATTTAATCATGCTAATTTAATCAGAATATTGCATCGTTTTCGTCCTCAGCTTGTGGGAAATTGGAAAACAAATGTTTCTCACATGGAAATTGCTCCATGTGAGAAGTGGTGTACCCCAGGGGTCTGTACATGGGCCTCTATTGTTTGTATTGCAGCCAATGGTTCTGAACCCATCCAACTGAATAGACTGAATAGAAGCTAATACATTTTCATTTATTAGAAAGTTCAAGCCAGTGTAGCTCAGCCCTTCACGTTTTCGTGAAAGCAAACCATACGTATTCTCTCTTAATTTAGATCTGCCGTTTGTTTAGCATAGGCGGGAGAGTAACATACAAATACCAATCCAAGTAATATGAGCATCAATGGTTTATGCTGCATTTCAAACAAAGCTAATATTGGAGAACAAATTTAATAGGTATCCATATTTTCGCCAAATTAATTCTTTAACGGGTTTTATTTACTTCACGAAGGAAAAGTCTCGGCTTCATTCTCTTTGAATGTTGCTACGTCTTTTCATTCGTGAAGTAACCTGGTTGAATGGGAAATCTTACCAAAGTCAAAATTTTGTGCAAATATTTTAACTGCTTTTAAAATATGTCCTCCATAATATGTACGTTATTTACACATTTGTATACTTTCAGGCTGCTTCAACATCTAGCACAAAGACAACTGAAAAAAGTAAAAAAGAACCATTCAGTGGACGATCCAGTGTTGCCGGTGGTAAACGTAAAAATGAAGATTCAAAATCATCAGGTAAATACAACACAATTTCACTTTAATAAACCACCGAATAACATTTTTTCTTCACTTTTCATTCATAATTTTAGGTAGCAAAAAGAAACGCACAGAATCCGGCAAAGATGAAACAGACAATGAATCAGTTTCAGATGCATCAACAAGACACTCAGAGTTGACGGGCTTCGATAAAGGTCTTGAAGCTGAAAAAATTCTTGGAGCCTCTGATTCAAATGGTGGTCTCTACTTCCTTATACAGTTCAAAGGTGTCGATCAAGCTGAGATGGTGGCAGCCTCAGTGGCAAATGTAAAAATACCACAAATGGTTATTAAATTTTATGAAGAACGTTTATCATGGTATTCTGACAACGAAGAGTGAGCGGTCTATGCAGTTCGGCACAAGATGTGTTGATATCTCTTTTTTTTAACATAAACAACATAACTTTACGTTAACCTTTCGTATTAATTTAACTATACTATAATGCAAAAGCAAACAAAAAGAAACAATATTGAAACAAAAAACACTTTTAATTTCCTTTAAATTTTCATTTTTAATTCGTTATTATAACTTCCTAAGAAGTAATAATCGTTGTAAAAGAACTCATCTCTGACCCAAGTCAATGCTTGAATGTTTCGTTGACATTTTTATGACTTCCCATATCTTTCACCACACATTAGTATTTCAGCTTATTTCCACTTATAGTATACTTATTCCCTTACAAGAAACATACATAATATGAATGTCGCTAAACAAGTGGAAGAAAATAATAAAAAAACAGATAGAATAATACATTTTTGTTTGTTTAAGAATCCAGGGAAAATTGATATATTCACCATTGACGAAAACATAAAAAAGACCACGAAAATATGATGTGGTACTTCTACAAATATAATATAAATGTAACAAAATTAAATAAATATTTGTTTTTGTTCGTTTATAGGCAAATTCATATATTCATACGAAAAAGGTTCCACAGTCACTATTACAAAATTACATATGCATTTCTATAGGGGAGCTAGAACTCTGAAATTTGGATTGAGGGTCACTGATGGAGTGTAGAATAGAATAGGGTTTTTTTGGACATTCGAACTATAAGAATCCGAAAAGTACTAAAATGTACTAAAGTTGGTACAATTTCGTAGCACGGGAAGGATAGAGCTAAAATGTGCTAATGTGCATATGAAAGTACTAAATCATACTAATATACGATTTGGTTTAACCGATAGAGCTGGGATAATGAAATTTGAAGTGTAGGATTGGGCTAAATCGTACTAAATTTTGGATTTGGTTGAACTGATAGAGCTGGAATCTGGAAATTTGATGTTATGATCACTGTTGGGGAGTAGGATTGGTCTGGAAATTCGTACTAATGTGTACTAAATTTGGTACAATTTAAAATTGTGGGTGAATCAATACAACTGCAATACTGAAATTTGGAGTTATTTTGGAATTTTGTAGAAAGTTTTGGAAATTTGTGCCAATGTGTACCAAATGTGAACTTGGGTGAACCGATAGGGCTGGAACACTGAAGTCTGGAAATAAGGTTACTGTTGGAGTGTAAGATTGGGGTATGGGTGTAGTTTTGGAAATTCATACATTTAAGTACTAAATTTGGTACAATTTGAATTTTGGTTGAACTGATAGAGATGGGATACTGAAATTTGGAATTAGGATCATTATTGGGGTGTAGGATTGGGGTATGTAGGAAGTTTTGGAAATTCGTACTAATGTGTACTTAATCTTGAAATTTGAAGTTAGGATCACTGTTGGGGTCTAGAATTGGGATATATAGAACGTTTTGGAAATTTTTACTGATTTGTTAGTACAAATGGTTCCAAATTTGCCAGGGAGTCGGATTGGGGTATGTACAAAGTTTAGTAAATGTCTAATGTGTACAAAATGGTACTAAATTTGGTACAATTTGGATTTAGAGTGAACTGATAGAGCTGAAATCCTGAAATCGGGTAATAAGATTTCCATTGGATTGTATGATAAAGATAGTAATGGAAATTTGTACTAAATGGTACAAAATTGGATACAAATTGGAGTTTCATGAACCGATAGAATACTGAAATTTGACATTAAGATTGAGGTATGTAAGAATTTTTTGAAATTCTTACTAATAATTGTTAAAGTCATGGTTTAAAATGCTAACGCCAAAATAGCAAAAACAAAGAAAATTGCCGCACTGCTAACTAAATTCATCCTCAAAATATGCAGCACAGACAAGCACAACTGCAGCAAATAGCAATACATTACGAATAATTTTAGCGAGCAAAACTAAAGCTTATTGATTTTGTCAGCAGCTACAAAATAGCAATGAACAACTACAACATAATTGTCAACGCGACTAACAACCAAAGCTTACAATGAAGACTAAGCACCTTGACTGCGGCTGCTTAGCAAGATTTTTAGCAAACAAAACCCGAGCATTTTTCGAGTTCAGTGTTGCCCATTAAAATTTTATAAATTATATGAGAGAATTAAAAATCGCGATTATGATCATTTAATTTTTTTTTAAGAAAGACAATTAATAATACTTGCTAAAGAGTTTAATTTAATATATTATTTAGGTTTTAGTACTATTATTGACAGTTTTTGATTATGATTTAACAAGTTTAAATTAAATAAAAACGCACAAAATGAAATGCTTTTTTTCTAATTTCTGCGTTGGCAACACACAAACATAAAAACAACCCTCGACTGATTATTCGTCGGCAGCGAAATATGAATATGTAGTCGTACTGCCGATTAGTCATAACAAAAAAAGCTCGCATGTGCAATACGTGCTTAGCACGGATGCTACGAACTAAAAAAGCTAGCCGTTTGCTGATTTAGTCATAATGTCAATATTTTTTAGCAGTAGCTCTGTAAGACTAATGCTAATGTTTTTTGATGCTGCATTTTAAACCCTGGTTAAAGTGGGTAGTTATGGAAATTCATATAAATGCGTACTAACAGGTACTAAATTTGGATTTAGGTGAACCTATATTTGAAATTTAAAACATTCTTTCTTAATTACTATACAATTCGTAAAAAGGATATTTTTACCATTATGCAAAATTGTTAGAGGCTATTTTTTGTTTATTAAAAAAAATAAACACAAAGACTCCGTTAAGTTCGTTCCCACTTGGAAGTATATTATATTGCAGCTAATCGTTTTAAATCTTGAGGTTACAACTTCCGATTTTTATCAAGCCGTTTCCTATAATTTGTGGTTCCCGATGCCTTCAATCGTATTGAAAATTAGCGGTATCATTATATGAATGCTATGCCTAAATGTGGTACGCGATATAGCCAAACTTCAAATTTTATCTGCCAACAAAAATACGCTTCGGTGATCTGATAATAAAATAATATAGGGATAGACACAAAACCTGTACAAATATAGATACTTTTGTTAGATTCATTATATGAAAATATGAATATGGTTGAAAAGCCTATCCAACATAGCGAAAATGGTAAAAAACGGTTATTATAGTTATATGGGGCTAGACTTAAAAATGAGTAATAACTTTTAATAATTTTTTGTAGGGAGACTTGATGAAATCGTATGCCATATATCGGTATTGTCTTAAATGTCATGTGTCAAATTTCTATGTCCCAAAATTCAAATCAGCGTACAAATAGTTTTACATAGAATACAATTTATGACTTCACATAAAAATACTTTTTGATTTTGTATAATCTAATACAAATAGTTAATTCGAAAGTTTTAGGGTATTTTGCAAACAAACTTACCACACTGTTCCTTACATCCAGCTAAGAATCTCATTGCGCCTTTCCTTTGCAATAAAACGACTTTGTGTTATACGAATACATCCGACATAAAACGAATAGTCCAACAAACTTTAAACGAACCGGCAAAACACAATACAAAACACATTTAAACTGCAAATTAATACTGAAGGAATATTTTTTTACAATTGATATTTTTCCAATAAATATTATCAACAACATAAATATTTAATATTTATTTCTATTATTTTCTAACTGACATTTTCTAGAATATTTTTAATTGAATATTTTTTCGCCATCAAAAACTTCCAAAACAAACTTATTTACACGAAACAACCGAACGATCACTGCAAAAGCGAGCAAGATACCGACAACAAAAATGATTCTCTCATTGACAAACGCACGCACACACACATACACCACTTGATGCTAAAGGAACAACAACAACAATTGCATTGCGGTGCCAAAGAAATTACAACTTCACTTTTTTAACATTTTACAACCGAAAACACTTTAATTTAGCAATTATTTTATATTATTTCATATACATTTTATAATTTCACACTTTTTATATCATTTATATGCGATTATTTACTTTTATTTTTTGATTTACTATGGAACAACACAATTCACGACCGACTAACTTAAAAAATACTTCTTAACTGAAGTTGGCGTCTGATAGGAGTTGCAGTGTTGCCAATATGTTGAATAATTGAATGAGATCGTTCAAGTGATTACCAATTAGATTTTACATATCTTTGATGTCAAATTCTAATAGGAATGTCATTTTCATTAAATGAAAATATTGTTCGAGAAAATTTAGTTTTGCACATAATTTAGGAGGGGTTTTTTATAATATGTATTAAATAGTTATATGAATAAATACTCAAAGGGTGGCAGAGAGACAGTCAGTCAGTGAAAATTTATTGAATATAATGAAATATCAGATTCACATAATCTCATTAGTAATATGTGACTATTCCTCTGACATACAAACACATTTACGTTGTAGTTTAATTAATTGCAACGATCCTAATTCTCATTCTGAAAATACAAACAATGCACTGGCGACATCTGTTTGAAAATAACAACTAAGTGTTAAAATGGTTTTGAACAAGACTATTCATTTTGCTTGCATATTAATAGATGGCGTCCAATATATAGTATTGCCAGATAAAGCCATAAACATGCGGGAAACTAATAAATTATGTGGAGAGCAACAATTATTATAAAATATTTCAAGATTTTGGGATAATCAAGTAAAAAGGGTGTGAACTTGGGTGGGACCGAACTTTTTATATTAAGTCTACGTTCCACGGCAATATTTTAAAGTTGCAAAAATGTTGCCCGATGCCGTCGTCTTACACGATTACCGATAATATCCTTGATTAAGGATAAATTGGCGCCCATTACATCAGGACAATTCTTCAAGGGCAACATGGGTATCGTTGGAAAGGTTTTTGACTGTACTTTCCATTGCAATAGTTAAAAATGTTGCTTGATACCGTCGTATTTAACAATTTCCGAATATATCCTTGATTAAGCATAATTTGGGGTCCATTGGTCCATCAGGACAATTCTTTTAGGAGAAAATGGGTATCGATGGGAAGGTTTTTGAGTCTACTTTCCACTGCAAAAGTAAAAAGTTGTATTTAACGATTTCCGTAAATATCCTTAATTATGGATAGTTTGGCGTCCAAAATGAATTTTTTAGAAGCTAGATTGTTTGCTAGAAGATTTTCCACACAACGAGAATACAAAATAT